CGTTGCACAGGCACCACGTGTCGTCATCGGCGCTGACCTTGACACGACTCATAGTATGCCCTGGCCTTGCGGCTTTGCCCTGGACTTTATCCTTCGGTATGTCCTTCACCCTTCTGCCACTCTGTCGAGTTCGTTAGCCTGACTTCCAGCGCCGCTTGAAGATCTAGTTCTACATGGTCTGAGAGCTGTCTGGCCGTTCCGCGGCCGCTTCCTCTTCCCGTCTCGCCCCTCCCCTGCTTCCGCCGTAATTGGTTACGGACGCTTCCCGCCGCTAGCCCGACAGCTTGTTCGACCCAGCTGGCCGCAAGTCAACCAGTTTGCTGGTCGCTCCTCTGTCTCTGAAGTGCTTGAAATTTCCGCACGGCGGCGCGCCAGTGCTACACCTCTTGGTGTACAGTCCAGCCGCTGAAGTAAGGGCCACTTGGCTCAGGAGGGGCTCTGGACTTCGGTCCGCTCCTTGAAGCCTTAGGCCGGGGCACCCGTTCGTGGCCGAGGCTCGCCGTGGCTAGAGAAGCCCCTCCACGCCTGATTCGGCGTTCCCAGACACCCGGCGTGCCGATGCTTTCAAGACAAGGGGCCCCCGACCTCCTGGCCACTTCCCCGGGACTGGCTCCTCATCGCCCGCGCCGCTCTTCGACGCTCCCGGGGCCCCCAGAGGCCGAACGCTGGGAAGGCCTCCCGTCCCGACGCGAGCCCGCCTGGGCCTCCGAGGATGGAAGGAGCCTTCGAGCCTCCGACGCTCGGCCCATCCTTGGCCACTCTCGTGGCCCGCGCCCCGCTCGCAGGGCTCCGAAGCGGCCTTCCGAAGGCCCTCGGCGTCCTCCCCGCGCGCCCTCGCGCTGCGGGCCGACCTGCAGAGGGGACCGCCGCGGGCGCCCCGCCCTCCTCGCGGCTCGGTCCCCTGGGGGGACTTCTGCTCTTTGGGGGAGGCCGGCGGCCGCGCCGCGCCGGGAGCCGCGCCGGGAGCCGTCCATGAGGCGCCCGGCGTCGGGGCTCCCGGCACGATGGGGCCCTCTTTTGGAGCGCGGCCGCCGCCGCGGCCGCGCCGAGGGGCCGCCCCGCCCGGGGGGGTGGGGGGGGGAGGGGGAGGGGGGGGTGGGGTGGGGGGGAAAGGTTGGGGGGGGGGTGGGGGGGGGGGGGGGGGGGGGGGGGGGGGGGGGGTGGGGGGGGGGGGGGGGGGGGGGGCCCCGGGACGCGGGCCGCCCGGCGCGGCGCCCGGCGCCGTGAGGCGAGGAGGGTCCCGAGGGGAGCGGGCCTCCCCGGGGGTTCCTGCCGCCGCGTCGGGGCTCGCGGGGGCCCTCCCCAGGCCTCCACCACCTGCTGCTGCTGCTGCTCCTCCTCCTCCTCCTCCTCCTCCTCCTCCTCCTCCTCCTCCTCCTCCTCCTCCCCCTTCTTCTCCTCCTCCCCCTCTTCTCCCTCCCTCCCTCCGTCCTGCTCCTCCTCCTTCTCCTCGTGCCTCCCTCCACCCGCTATGAAGCGGACGGGTCCTCCCTGAGATTTGTGCGTCGTACCTTTTTCGAGCCTGGTGGCCGCCATGTGGCTGGGACGGGGTGCTCAGTTGCGTCTTGAGGTAAGCGATGTCCCAAAGGGGAATAAGGGGGTTGGCAGAATTAAGGTGCTCATCCACCTCCGACCAACAGGCTGGTGCAATTCTACGCGAGATTTCTCTTGCCTGGCTTGGGTAAGAGCCATTGTCGCTTGTAGGCGCTCGCCGCCCTGGCCGCCAGTGAGCCGGTCGTTTTCGCATAGTTTCGGGCCCCAGAACCTTCACAGCTCGAGCCAGCTCGCAATATGCAGCGACAGAAATGGGGTCCAGGGCTCTGGCCGTGGTTTTTCACGATGTTGCAATTTTTGTGCGTCGTCCCTTTTAGGTACGAGAGAAACGGGTCTGTCAATTTGTCGCTGTTTTCGAGCTCTCGTGGCCGTCCCTGTCTCGCAGGGTTATCAAAGGGCAACGCAGGATGAAGCGCTGGTCCTGGGCGAAGGCCCCGGGATCCAGGACCCGCTTCCTTCATGCCAATGCTGGCTCGCGGCGCCTGACAGCGGGCATCAGCGGCTTCAGGGGGGGGGCGCAGCGCGAGCCCCCTCGGTGCCCCCTCCTCCTCCTCCTCCTCCTCCTCCTCCTCCTCCTCCTCCGCCTCCTCCTCCTCCTCCTCCTCCTCCTCCTCTCCTCTGGTGTTTCTTGTGTTGCCGCCAATGTGAGGTTCCTCGCAGGCGGCAGCTAATTTACGTGATTTGCACTTACTTACTTACTTAAGATCGGCGGCGGCGGCTCTCGTGCCTCGAAGTCGTCGAGGCTGAACCTGGCCTGCTGCCGAGCGGGGGGGGGGAAGTTGACCTTGCATTTCCGCCGCAGCCTTTGCTGCACTAATGGTGCCATGCCCTCTTACGTGAAGCATGCACTCGCACACAACCTCTCACACCCTTATGATGAACACAGACGATCATGAAGGTCGGCTTACTCAGTAACATCCCTATCAATACCACCCTAAGTGTGTGTGCCTCGTTGTAAGCATATAGTGGGATATGGAGGCTATCTGCATTCTCTTCGATGTCGAGATGTGAGCACTCGGCATTACGATGAACTCCTGCGTTCAGGCAAAACTGGAAGAGGTGTGAAGCCAAAACAACACGCAAGCGATATTGATACTGGTCGGCTGATGCTGTCCGAAAGGAATCGCCATTCTCACGCCCTAGCAATACTTTGTGAGCGCCGTGTGGGTGCGAGCAACGTCCCTGCTTCAGAAGTCGCTGCAACCCAACTTTACCATCAGGCATATTTGCAACCAGAAAACATGCGGGCTCAATGAAGTCGGCTCCGAACTCACAGTGATCAATCCAGACAAGATCTACGCATGCGCCTGGATGCGGCGAGCTGATCAAGTGAGCAGTCTCCGCAACATATCAAGAGCAGGGGAGGAGCGGGTCTCTGGGGAGTGTCAGGTGCTGATTAAAAGTTGTTTCGTCTGTGGCCGCAGCAACATGTGCTAGTAATCTGGTAACGCCGCAAAAGTCAATGGCGATCTCTAGTTGTGCCCATTATTGCGAAGGTCATACGGCTGGTGCCGCCGACCTTGAAGGGGACGTCGACGACGACGGCGGCGGTGGCGGCGGCGACGACGATGACGCTGACGTGGGCCCGAGTCCTCAGGGATGCTTCTTGGGGTCTCTTGGGAAGGCTCTCGGGGGCCTCTGGGGAGGAATGTAGGGGTCTCTTGTGAGCCTCTTAGGGGCCTCTTCGGGGCCTTTTCCGATGTCCTGGAGGCCTCTTGTGGGCTTCTTGGGGCCTTTTGGGAACTTCTTGGGTCATCCTGGGAGCTTCTCGGGGCTGAGGGCTCGAAACGTCCGTTCGGGTTCCCCGTCAAGGCACGCTCTTGGATCCGTCTTGGGGGCCTTTTGGGCCGTCTTGGAGGCGTTTGGGGCTGCCTTGTGGTTCTCTTGGGATGCTTTGACACGCTCTTGGAAGCCTCTTGGGGCGATCTTGAGGGCCTCTTCGGCCGTCTTGTAGCGGCGGAAAGGCGAAAAGTCGAGAACGCCCAAATCTGTCAAACATCTAAGGGCTATCAATGGTTGTTGCTTCTGAGGGCCCTCTAGGGAGCGCCTTTGGAGGCCACTTGGGGCGTCTGGGAGGTCTCCAGGGCAGTCTGGGAGCGTGAAGGCGTTTTCGACCGATCGTTTGGCGATTGGGGGCCCTCTTGGATCGTCTCGGGGCCCTCTTTGGGCACTCTTGGCTTGTTTTGGTACTTTTTGCAGCCACTGGACCCCCAGGGGGGGGATGCGTATCTTACCTTCCCCCCCCCCTGGACCCCCCCCCGACGGGGGAGGGATCAAAGGGAAGGGGTTCCTCTTCGACTCGATTACGACATTGCGAGGTCTTTCTCTCGCTAACAGGCTTGTTGAGGAGGGTGCAGGGAAAGGGGACGACGCAGACGACGACTGACGGAGACGACGACTCGAACAGACAAACCCTTCGCATACGCCGATCAGGTCGGCGGATTTTCCCTTGAGCTGTGGGGTGCCCCAGAGCGATGTGACAGATCGCAGCTGGCGCGGGTTCTGTCTCCTTTTGAAAGCCTGTTCGCACGAGCGGAGCTCCACGATTCACATGGATGGCCCGCGGTCATTGCCAGCACTCTGCCGACGTAGAAAAGACGATCATATTTTCCGCAGCAGCTGTGCGAACCCCGTCGTGAACGACATCGACCGAGAACATCCACACAGCTGTTTGTGACTGGCTTCGGAGTCTTTCAGAGTGGCTGTGCACATCTCCCTGGCGTCCCTGGCCGCTGAAAAGGTGCAACACGTATCTGAGAGTACCCGTGGAAATTGGCAAGGGATTCTCTGAAGCACCAACAATCTGCGCGGCTTCTACTGTCCGCGGCTCTGGCACTGGGTCTGGCGATGCAGGCTGCGCAGCCAGAGCTGAGCTGGGAGGAGGACAGGCTGGCCCGCAGGTTGGACAGACCTCGGCGGCGAGCGAGGGGGGGAAATGAGAAGGAGAAGGCCTCCTCAGAAGGCGGCGGGACTTCTCAGAAGCCCTCGCGCCGTCTGAGAGGTGTTTTCTGTCTTCGGGGAAGGCTCAGAAGACTTTTCAGAAGTCCGGGGGGCTTCCGAGCCCTCTGAGAAGGCCCGCCCCTTCTCACTTCCCCCCCTCGCTCGCCGCCGAAAACCGGGACAGCTCGGCTTTGGCACAGCAGAGTCCCCGGGGCCCGAGCCTTTGCGCCTCGGCCGGCCCCTCCTCGCTCTCTCGTGCTCTCCCGCCCCTCGGCTCCCAGCGGTGGCGCCCTCTGAGCCCGAGCCGCCAGGCGCCGCCGGTGGCCCCTCTTGAGGTGACGAAAAGCAGTGGCGAGGTGTATAGCTGGTGTCAAGTGGACTTTCTTGGGGGGCTGTTCCTCTGTGTGTGTGTGGAAAAAACATACCCAATTGCAGAGTCTGGGTGGCGGGGAGTGGACGTCCGAGCGATGGCAAGGATGGCACCCCGCGCCCGCGGCGCCGCCGAGGCCCTGGCTCCGCCCGCCTCTGCTTCCGCGACCGCGCCGACGCGCTGGCCGCCTGCGCGCGGCTGGACGGCGCCGCCGGTCCAGCCGACCCTGGAGGACGGGCGGCCTTGCCGCCGTCAGCGCCGCCGACGACGACGGCGAGGACGGCGAGGGCGAGGACGACGACGACGATGACGGCGACGGCGACGAGGAGGGCGACGACGACGGTGAGGACGACGACGGCGACGACGACGGCGAGGACGACGACGGCGACGCGGACGAAGGCGACGACGGCGGCGAGGACGACGGCGACGAGGACGACAACGGCGACGCGGATGAGGGCGACGACGGCGGCGAGGACAATGAGGGCGACGACGACGGCGAGGACGACGACGCCGACGCGGACGAGGGCGACGACGGCGGCGAGGACGACGACGGCGATGGGGATGAGGGCGACGACGGCGGCAAGGACGACGGCGACGACGACGGCGACGACCACGGCGAGGGCGACGACGGCGACGCAGACGAGGGCGACGATGGCAACGATGACGACGGCGACGACGACGGCGAGGGCGACGATGGCGACGCGGACGAGAACGACGACCGCGGCGATGACGACGGCGGCGAGGACGGCGACGATGACGACGACGGTGATGACGTCGGCGAGGACGTTGACGGCGACGTGGTCGAAGGCGACGACGGCGGCGAGGACGACGGCGGCGAGGACGACGACGATGACGACGGCGACGAAGACAACGGAGAGGATGACGACGGCGACGTGGTCGAGGGCGACGACGACGGCGAGGACGATGACGGCGACGACGACGGCGGCGACGACGACGGCGACTCGGACGAGGGCGACGACGGCGACGATGACCGCGACGGCGGCTACGACGGCGAGGACGACCACGGCGACGCGGACGAGGGCGACGACGGCGGCGAGGAAGACGGCGGCGAGGACGACAACGATGACGGCGGCGACGACGACGGCGAGGACGACGACGGCGACGCGGACGAAGGCGACGACGGCAGCGAGGACGACGGCGACGAGGACGACGATGGCGGCGCGGATGAGGGCGACGACGACGGCGAGGACGACGACGGCGACGACGACGGCGAGGGCGACGACGGCGACGCAGACGATGGCGACGAAGGCGACGATGACGACGACGGCGACGACGACGGCGAGGGCGACGACGGCGACGCGGACGAGGACGACGACGGCGGCGAGGACGACGGTGGCGAGGAACGACGGTGACGACGACGGCGACGAGGACGACGGCGAGAATGATGACGGCGACGCGGTCGAGGGCGACGATGGCGGCGAGGACGATGACGGCGGTCAGGACGGCGAGGACGACGAAGGCGACGCGGACGAGGGCGACGACGGCGACGAGGAAGACGGCGGCGAGGACGACGACGATGATGACGACGGCGACGACGACGAGGACGACGACGGCGACGCGGACGAGGGCGATGACGGCAACGATGGCGACGACGGCGACGACGACGACATACGACGACGGCGACGACTACGACGGCGAGGGCGACGACGGCGACGCGGTCGAGGGCGACGACGGCGACGAGCACAGTGACGGCGGCGACGACGACGGCGACGACGATGGCGAGGGCGACGATGACCGCGACGACGACGACGACGGCGAGGCCGACGACGACGACGCAGACGAGGGCGACGACGGCGGCGAGGACGACGGCATCGAGGACGACGGCGATGACAACGACGGCGACGACGATGGCGAGGACGACGACGTTGACGCGGACGAGGGCGACGACTGCGGCGAGGACGACGGCGGCGAGGACGACGACGACGACGACGATGGCGACGGCGAGGACGACGACGGCGACGCGGGCGAGGGCGACGACGGCGGTGAGGACAATGACGGCGGCGACGACGACTGCGAGGAAGACGAAGGCGACGCGGACGAGGGCGACGATGGCGGCGAGGACAACGGTGGCGACGACGACGGCAAGCACGGCTCGGAGCCCGCGAGGGGGCCGCGGTGCCCCAACAAATCGGTTTTGTGCAGAATAAAACTTGTTGATCCCCCCTCTGGTGACCATTGCATTTTTTCAATTGCAGTGCTTCAGGGGGGCTCGCACCCTGTTTTGTAATTCGCGAGAGTCGCTCGGCTTAAATTGGGTTGTTGGCCCCCGGTTTACAACAACAACAACAACAACAATCATTTTACCCGAACGCTCAGTGTTCTCCCCAGTGCCAGGGTTTTCTTGCGACACCAGCCAATACCCCCACTTCGTGGGGGGGCCGTTCAAGCTCTACCAAATATCCAAACGACTCTTCGAGACCACCCACACCCAGCTTCCCGCCCTATGACGTTGGGACACTTCACTTCGTGGCGTGCGGACGACCCTGACTACTACACTGGCGTGGGGTACACACCCACAGAGGTTGATCACATCTGTTACATATGATGTGGTACACGGTACACGTGAGATGGTACGCAGTGCCAAGATAGTTGGTCACATTTTTGGGGCAAATTCGTGGGGATGCGATTGCAGAAGTAACTCTCAGTGCCCAACGCGCGCGTGCACAGCCAGACGGAGGGAGAGAAACACATGTATACAAGGTTCGTGACATACGCACGGTCCACCATGTTGTAAACGATCACATGCACGGTAAGTTCTGAAATTATACGCATGTACAAGCAGACATGCGAGGGAGAAAGGGAGATGGCCATCGACAGTTCCAATACGGCTCCAAGGCGGAAGAGGGGGGGGAAGAGCAGGACAAGGAGGAAAGGAGAGAAGCGAGAAAGGAAGAACGCAGACGGCGCGGCTCTGGACACAAAGGGGTGCCATACTTTCTCCTGCTTTCGCAAACAGGTCCAGTCACACGTAGGGGTATACTCAACCGAATGGTCTTCGCAACCAGAAGCATACTAAAGGCGCGACGCATCGTCGTCTGCGATGGCGCGGAGCGGGCGCGTGGGTGCCCGGCTGCCTGGCTGATACACGTGCGGGCCTGGCTGATACCCGTGCGGTCCCAGATGCCAAATGAGATTGCCGATACGCCTGCTGGCGGGAAGGCCGGTGCTTGCATACGGCAGTGCTACCGCGAGCACGTTGTGGACCTGCGGTGGCAAGGCCTGGTAATCGATCATGTTCGGAAGCTCGTCGCTCTGACCATACGACCGCCATACGGGCAACCACCACCACTGGTCTTGACGCGGATACGTGATCTCTGTGCCGACCTCAGGGGATACGTTCCAAAGGGCCATTTTCTGCGGGTCCGTACCCATGAAGGCCGCGCGCATGTGCACTTCGTCTCATTTTTTGCAAGGGATGGTGGCCCTCGCACGCGCGCAACCGTTGATGGAGAAGTTCAAAGCACCTGAAGAAGTAGCACGCAAAGACCCTTTTGACAGAAATGTTTAAAAAGTGGTGTGTTTCCTATGAATCCGCAAGAGCGCGCGGAAGGACATTTTGACAATTTTTTCTTAAACAACCATTGGGTTTTTGATGTTTTTATGTTAAAATCGCTACGAAACCTAAGGTTTTGGAAGGATTTCGTCTTGCGAGCGCGAATGTCCACTTTACCTTATTTTTTGCAAGGGATTCTTGAAATTTGATCAACTAAGAACAAGAATTTTCATTTTCTATTGTTTTTTGCAAGGGAAAACGAGCGTCAACAAAAAACCGGATCCGGGGGTAATCCACTTTTCTGAAGCTTTCGCAGAAAAATGATGAAAATGTAGCTGCGGCCTAGGTTTTGGGCGGGGGGCGTGCACCAGGGGGTCCAACAATAATAATTCTTTAGAAGTAATAGTGTTCAACAACAACAACAACAACGGCTCCCGCCTAATACTTCCTCACAAGGTATTCCCCAATCGCGCTCTAGCGCGGGAACGTCTCACAATTTGTATACAAATCGCGCTCTCGTGTGGGACTTCCTTGCAGTTTATTCAGACGATGCTGTATCGAGGGTTTGGGAGATACGTGTTGAATGGCACGCGAGCCGATAAGAGCGAACAGTCTTGAAATGGTTGTTGTTGCTGCTGCTGTTGCTGTGATTGTTGTCGCATTCTCATTTCCAAAGAATAATTGTTATTGATCCCCCCTCCGGTAACCATGGTATGTCTTCAATTGAAGTGCCTCCCTCGGGGCTCGCACCTGTTTGTTATCAGGGAAAGCCTGGTGTCACCAAACTGCGCCGTTGGGGCCCGAACTGCAGCAGCAGCAAACAACAATCATTTGCAGACTGTTCGCTCTTATCTGCTCGCGTGCCATTCAACGCATATGTCCCAAACCTTCGGTACCCGCCCTCTTCGTCTTCCAGCGTGCCCCCATTATGGGTATATCTTTCTCACCTGCGACGTGTAGTTCGTGCAGCTCCGAATGCAGGGGGGAAGATGACGGATGGAAGGAGGGGACAAGGGGGGGGGAAGGAGGATGGAGCACGAGAGAGAGTAGCAGGAGGAGGGTTAGGAGCAGAAACCAAGTGACAAAACCAGACGGGCAGATCGGGTGTGTAGGCCTTAACGGGCGGGTCGGGAAGGCGGGCCCAGGCGGCCAGGTCGACCAGGCGGGTTGCTGAAGCGTGCGTCCTGCATGAATCGCGAAGAAGTCTCGAGCGATAGCACCATTCCTAAGCAAATCGTCGAAATCCACAGCGAGAGCGTGATTCCTGAGTGTCGAGGGCGCGGCTTTTGAATAAATTGCAAGGCAGTCCCACGCGAGAGCGCGATTCCTGTATAAAGTGTGAGGAAGTCCCACGCGAGAGCGCGATTTGGGAGTACATGGTGAGGAAGTATCAGGCGGGAAGGCGGGAGCCGTTGTTGTTGCTGCTGCTGTTGTGGCTGTGGTTATGGTTGCTGCTCGTTGAACACTATTACTTCTAAAGAATTATTATTGTTGGACCCCCTGGTGCACGCCCCCCGCCCAAAACCTAGGCCGCAGCTACATTTTCATCATTTTTCTGCGAAAGCTTCAGAAAAGTGGATTACCCCCGGATCCGGTTTTTTGTTGACGCTCGTTTTCCCTTGCAAAAAACAATAGAAAATGAAAATTCTTGTTCTTAGTTGATCAAATTTCAAGAATCCCTTGCAAAAAATAAGGTAAAGTGGACATTCGCGCTCGCA